TTGGATAATATCCGACAGAGAGAAGAATGATCTCTATGGAGAGTGAACTATGCTCTACTTCTCGTCGAGTTCCATGGCATCAACGCGAAAGAAAATTATTCGTTAAACACCAAAAAAAGAACTTCGTTGCAGGAGCAAACGAATCCCAAATCTTTCGGACTTATAATAGCGTCCATTTCGGCAATGAATTAACAATTATCAATTTTCTTCAAATTTCTGCATAATGCAAAGATTATACAATTCTCGAATATTTGGACGGTAACTTAATCAACATTAATTACAATTTCTTAGTATATGATCAAGAATTGCAAGCAAAGTATATTCCGCTAATTATTACGAAACACATCAGCATTTTTATCAAAATAAAAAAACATGGATAGAATAACTTTTGTCGAAAGACAGTTACAAATAATTATATTTCAAAATAATAAAATACATATGTCTTATAATTTATTATATGTGTGAGTACAAAAATTCTCAGATACCAACTGTTCAAGGCGAATCGAACCGATAACAATGAGATTTAAATTTTATTTATATTTTCATTTTATTTTGATTTTATAATCGAATATTTAATAATATAAAATTTATATCAATTTTTATTTTTCTGCAACGTTTACTCAAATTTTGTCAAGTAATTAAATAGGATTATCTAAATACTCAATGTAATATTTATTAGATATTAGATAAGTAAGACTATCAAAATCTTATTAATATCGGGGTACCTAATCGATTCGTCTTGACTTTTTAAGTACTCACATTTTTATTTACATCCATTATATTACTACAATAAATTATTTAAATAAATAAATATGAACCTCTTTGATAAAATTTTATCAGGTAAATAGAAGCTAAAAATTTCTTACATAATATATACACTGCATATGTATTTCATTATATAAATTAATCTAAAACATTTTAAAATTAATTAATGCTTTGGAATAAAGAGATGTTCAGTGCCTAAAAATAGTTTCTTAAAAGAAACTAAAGATTAAAATAAAAAAATATATTCATTTGTAACCACATTTTTTCTTAAAGAAATCGTCAAAACGACTATGTAACAAAATGAAACTTGTAATTTTAATTTATTTAATATAATTAATTTGTCTATAAGGAATTGCTATCCATGTTCAATTCGTTAAATCTTATTATTGTCAAAGCAGTATTAATGTTAATTAATGAAAGAACATATAATGAGAATAAATTCTTCTTTCATTACACATATTGTATTTAATCGATTTCATGAGTAGACTTAAAAAAATTACATTGCCGTCATCGTTAACTTATTGTCGAAATCATTGCTTCCAGGAAATGTCAAAAAACCCCTTAATTAATTAATTGATTAATTTCAGCCTTACAACGGCAGAGAATACCCAGATTTAATGAGGCACCGAAATAGATATCTTGGATGGATGCTACGAAAACCGACGAAAAATAACTTTCCACGTTAAAAATCATTACTCTCCATCGCTTCGGTACGAATTACAACATTTACTAATGTCCACTTAACGCGAGGAACAGCGACGAGTTTATTTAGTATTATAGACAATATTTAATATTATATACTTTGCGAGAACGTTTCATTCGTAAGAGTGACAAAAAATAAGACGGTTCGCGAATTTTATAACCAGCTGTAATACAAAAAATTTGCAATTAAAAAAAATATATTAAATGTACATGTCACATCGTAATATCTAAAACATAAATATTAAATTTTGTGAACAAAAACTGTATACATATACTATTATTGTCTCAACATCTTCAATTAATTGAATATAATACATGCCACAAAAACTATAACTTTTAATACGGAATTTTGAATAAAATATTTCCCGAATTTATCAACAATCTTTTAGTACAAAAAAAATTTTAAAGGCTTTCCGAAACGAATATTTATTGAATACGCATCGATCCTTGTCTTATTAATCGCATCCGATTACATAATTAACATTATTTACAATTATTTTACATAAATTACAATTATAATACATAGTACTTACAATTATATACAAATGACATAAAATAATATACAATTATTTTTTCGTAAATTACAAATACAGCACACAGTATTTACAATAACATATAATATGTTACATTGTCTTTAAATATTGATTTAAAATTAATAACATTATTTTAAGTTGTTAATAGTATTAAAAATATAATAAAAAATATATCATCATATTTATAATTATTATATTTATGTGATTATTTTGTCTAATACGATCTTTCGAACTAAATTATTATGTCCCTGACCGAATTCCTACCATATTCCTATCTATCCATACTTCAATAAATAACAATGTCTATTCCTATTTATCTATATTTTGTCCTACTCATTTACGAGTACCTACCTACCTGTATATTTTAATTACAATCTTTAATTAAAACCGCGACGCGACACGCGACTTATGAAGAAACCCGATTTGTTAATTCAGCGGGATACCTGAAATCTACTCAAGCGATAAATTTACGTGATAACTTCACGCGCCAAAAGTGACGCGGAGCGACGAGGACGCTGTGCGTCTCACTCTTAACTTCGCGTTTATGCATTTTTCGCATTTCTAGCTACAAATAGTATACGCGCATTACATTGTAGCAGAATAATCCTATTGATATCATAACTAGATATTCGTGACATTCGTAATAAGTTATTACGAATTATTGCCATTTATTTACGCAATACATCTTCAATCGGACAAATATTGAGATACGCGTTTTAACCAATTACTAGTATTATACGAGATCAAATTGATGTTTCGCGTCAGTTGAATATTGCAAATGAGAAAATAATAACACAATGAAAACATAAGTTTTTTTTACCAATTAAACGCCAAAAGTAATGTTTGCAATATTGGTTCGATCGAATTAAAAGTAGTACGCCGCGTTAATTTTGATGATGCATGAAGTTGACCGCGCGCAAAAAAAACGACGCCGCTCCGCCATCTTAATGAGATCGCGGACACGGGATCGACAGACGAGGCGTGCTGCCACTTGTCTCGTACGTCGATCCCGTGTCCGCCGAGATCTCATTAAGATGGCGAGACAGCGTCGTTTTTTGCGCGCGGTCAACTTCATGCATCATCAAAGTTAACGCGGCGTACTGCTTTTGATTCGACCGAACGAGTATTGTGAAAAATATTTTCGGCCGGACAATCAATGTACTAGTACTATTTTAACTCTACATCACGCGATATTTAAAATATTATAGGAAATAATTACAAAGTTAATTATACTTCGTGTCGCATTAAATTGTATCCTAGAAATTTCACGCTCGCGAAAACATTGCGATATTAATCATGTATGTACAATTATTAATAATAGCCTAAATATTTTATTTAACACGTAAGACATATTAAAACTGTTAGAGAATTTAAGAGCGATCAGTTTTTAAATATTACTCGCGTCGCGTATATGAAATTAAAAATATTAATAATTTGATAATATTTATTAGTTACCTCGTTAGTATAATTCGAACGATCTTTCCGAGTCGTTTTCCGTCGTTTTATTCTCTACAGTACGGATTAGGATATTTCTGGAGATTAGGATGCTTCTGGAGATCAGGAACGTTTGGAAGAAAGGTCTATGACATTGATTGATTCGAAGCCAGGAGTGCGAACTATTCTAACGTTATATAAAGGCCTGTCTACAATACAGTGAGTAAGAAGTAAGAGTAAGAAATTGACCAATCACAGTCGATTATTCTTTTCACATTCGACTGTGATTGGTCAATTTCTTACTCTTACTTACTCCGTGTATTGTAGACGGGCCTTGACAGGACGTACACCTGTTTCCTGGTCGAATCGCGAAAGCGCGAGATCGCGACTTACACGTTATTTATATGCGTCGTCAGACTTCGACCCCACCACTCGCATGCCAGCCAATGAGCGCGGCGAGTCGCTGCGGACGCGTATTCGAGCGCTGATTGGACCGGCGCTAGCTTTCGATTAGAGTATATAAGCGCGACGCGCAGAAAATTTCAGTCTTTTTTGAAATTTGGCATCGTGCGTTTCGCACGGATAGATAAACCTACACATATTCAGTACGCGCTGTTATGATATTAGCTCGTATTTAGCACATAGTTCACGTTACGTAGAATTGCAAACATAAAAGCGCGTTCTGAATACTGGCCAGAGATTATATTCTTTCCAAAATTATAAACCGATTAGAATAAATAAATGAAGACTATCGAAGAAATTGTATAAAAGAAAAATCGAATTTATAAAATAATATGCAATTATAATAAATTGTGGATCACACATTTAAACATTGCGCAAATATAGAAATATATACTTATTACTTGAAGTTTTATAGCAAAATTTTAAATCAAAATATTAATATAGTATTCAACTTCACTGAGTTTTATTTTATATTGTTACGTATTAAATATATTATGATAATAATTATTAGGTGTTAAACTTAATTATTATTATTATTAGATGTTAAACTTAATTCCTGCCATTTTTCGT